TGCAGGTGCAGCGCCGGGCATCCGCCCCTACCCCACCCAAGTTCTTCGCTGCCCGCTCCTCCTGCCAGACAAACCCCGTCCTGCTTGCCTTCTGCTGGTCCCCGCTGCCCGCACCCGAGCTGGTGCGGCAGGCGGGGCTGCCCGCCCGGCCCTGCCCGCGCCCCCTCCTGCGTCTCATCTCTGCCGCTTCTCACCTCAGAGCGGCGCAGGCCTGAGCCGGCCCTTCACACGGGGCATCGCGCCCCACCAGCTCCAAGGTACAGCAGATACCCGTACAGAAACGCTTCTGCCGACACATCTCGGTGAGAGGTTTGCTTCTCGCTGCTTGTTTCTAAACTTAAGTATGCAAAGTAGCACCTTGAAGTCAGGAAGAGGCTTCCCAGAGTGCGAGGCACCGAGGAAAAGCTGAGCAGGTCGTAACCACCAGCCTGACGCGGGGCTGGCCGCGCAGGAGACAAAAGTTTTGCTGCTGTGGGCCTGCTGTGTTCAGGGAAAGGGGCCTTTGTAAATACACAGATTGCATCAGTAAATACCTGACTCCAACATCCCTGTTGTCTCTGGCATAAATATTTGCTGCTCACTGGGACAGAGGGGAAAAAACAAATTAAAAACAACCCCAAACCTTGGTGACAATGCACATTGCAACCCCAAGTCTTGAGGCTCAGAGATGAAGTCAGATAGACAACTGTCATTTTCAGAGTTTTAGTAATATTTTAAAATGAAACCAGAAAGAAAACCTTGAAATTACAGAATCACATTTAAATAACCCCTAATTTCTCCTTGAAAACCCTTCAGGTTTGTGTTGCGAACAACCCTGCAAACAGCTGTTGAGGAAGCTTTGGGCATGAACAGTGGTTAGGTTCGCTTCAGAGGGATACCGCTCTTCAGGACGACCATCGATCAGGACTTGAGACCTGTACTGTGGCTTGACTCTTGGGACACTGCCCTTACCCTTGTTATCCCGGCAGGGACAGCAGTAACTAGAATCAGGGCTTTTGCCTGGCTGGACTCCCAGCTTTATTCTGGCTCAACACCTCTGGAATGAGATGAGCAGTTCTGCTCCCCCATTCCCACGGCTCAAAAAGATCACAGTAATGTTACAAAATGTTCAGAGGATGTGGCAAGAATAATTGGACACTGAGCACACGAAGAATGGCTAAATGGAGTTGGCATCTTTGGGCTGGAAAAGGGGACAGTTCAGAGAGAGTTCTGATGGAGAGCTGTAAAAAGTATAGAGAAGATGAATAAAGAACAACTGGTTTTATCTGCCATATAGTGCTTTCAATTTCCCCTCATATCTACACTGTAAACAAACGAGCGAGTGGAAGAAGCTGGTCTTTGCACAGTGCAACTAAGTTGTGGAACTCCTTTCAACAGGAGAGGCTGCCAACTAGACCAATTAAGGAAAGAAACATTGATTCCACCTTTGCCTCTAGCATTACCTACTTCTTAAACTGAGACTGCACAAACGTTCTGGAGAAATCATTGCTCTCTGTTTGCCCTGATCTTACGCTCTTACCTACATGCTCCCATGGTTTTGCTAGGGACGTAGTCTTGGACCACACCGGCCCGTAGCGACCCAACACGACTGGTCTCACGTTTTAAGATGTGGCACGCCCGCCCACCGCTGGCATGCGGTTGACAGTGTGCCGATACGTGCGGGGGTGTGCGACAAGGAAGAACCCTGCCACTCCAGATGGCAGTGGGATTTCAGCGAAGCAGCGCTCGAACCCAGACCACTTCCCTCCGTCCCGCACGGTGCAGGGAGCGGCTGCCGGCTGGGCCACGGTCGATACCTCGGGGACGGGGCTCTCCACCGACCGCACCACGACAGGCTGGCACTGCTTCCCCCAGGGCCCCCGCTCGCAGGTCGGACCAAACGCGGCTTCTTCGCGGCCACCGGCTCCGGCGAGCGCGGTAGAAGAACCGCGGCGGCTCCAGCCAGGTCCCGCTCGCCGCCGGCCTCGGGCGGTGACAGGCGGCTCGCCCGAAACGTGCCCGCGCCCCGCCTGCCGCCTTACCGGGGCTGCCCGCTCCGCGGACGCGCAGGACGGCGGTAACGCCGCCTTCGCCCTCGCCGCTTCGCGGCGGGACTCGGCGACCCAGCCCCCGCCTCGGCCTGAGGCGGGCTCCGGGCTGCGCAGCGCCAGGCGCCGGCGGCCACGGGCGATGCCGGGAACGGGACGCTGAAGGGAAGGCGAGATGAGATGGCCCGGCCCGGCCCTCCCACCCGCGGGCTGAGACCCGCGCGGAGCGGCGGGAGGAGAGGGCGGAACGGCCGCCCGCTGAGACCCCCCCCAAGATGGCAGCCAGATGACAGTCTGGCGCTGCCCCGCTATAACTCTATGGCGCTGCGGCCCCTCTCGCCCGGCAGCGGAAGCGGTGTCCCCGGAAGCGGCGGGAGCGGCACGAGCCGGAAGGGAGCGTGGCGGCCGCTCGCAGGTGCGGTTACCACGGCGACCCGCGCGCGGGACAGGGCAGGGGAGCGGGCGAGGGGGCGCGCGCGGCGGCGGCACC